TATGCGCTAAATTGCCGCATTTTTTAACTGCAGTGTGACGATACCAGAATTGTGGTATGAATTTCTGAATCTTTTAAATAAAAATCAAATAAAAACACACACACAACATGGATCAATGCCAGGGAGCAAAGAGAGGGAACAAAGATTGTGTGTGTGCGCCTCAAATGCGGCGCCAGCTCTTTGCCTTCACCTGTGGCGTTAAATTATTATATATAACAGTTCTCCACCAAGTTTGGAAACCACACATCAGAGCTGTGAAACAAAGCAGGTGCATCTTTAAAATCAAATCACCTTCAGATTTATGGAATGTGACTGATGGCATGGTGCATTGGTTTCTGGAGTCAGGTTGAACTTTTTAACCATCACACCTGATTATGTCTATGCATGTTGATCCTTGAGCTCTCTGGATGGTGATTCTTTTTTAGTTTTCTCATACTGACAACTAAAATATCTCAGGAGCCTTTTTACTCAACCCTCTCTGTGTCTGTTCGTAGACAAAGCTGACTAGGGCTGCAACTCATTTTCATAGTCGATTATTCTCTGTCAGAATGTCAGAAAATACTGAAAAATATCCACCACAAGGTGACATCTTTTGATATTTTGTCTGACCAACAGTCCAAAACCCCAAAGACATTCAATTTACTATCACAGAAGTATTAATATATAATAATAATAATAATTAATAATATATGTAGAAATATTCACATTTAAGAAGCTGGAATCAGCCTTTTGCTTAAAAAATAACGTTTAATCCAAATTGTTGTTGATGAATTTTGTGTTGTTCGATATCTCTAAAGCTGGAAGACGATAAACAGATTTGTTCCACGGACCACCTCAATTTTCTGTCATCTTTTGTACTGGAAAAAGCAGAAATACATGTGGGGGATGCAAAAAGTTCACATACAAAACATCTCAGTTAGTTTCTTGGAGGAGATGAGGAAAAGGCCTTTTATCTGGATAAACTAAGTTTGTAGCATTTCTCTCTTCTGTTTTTGAGGCACAAAATGCACTTATTTGAAATTTTCCATGTAAACATATATGTTTTTTATATTTATAACATTCAAATGGATTTCTGATGTTTGATACATAGTGGTGTCTTGTAATCCCATGTGGGATGAACCAAATGTTTGGCCTGAACTGGAAAGGAAAAACAAACTAAACTAACTGTAGAAAGGAAAAGAGACCTCATTACTACATGAGAAGAGTTAATGAGAGACTATGGCCCTGAGTGTATTGAGCCACATTGTCATACCATCGTAAACGAATGAAAGCTAGTGGGAAACCTTTAAATGGTCACCAGGAACGTCCCACCCGCGAGCTACAAACACGTCTCTTGTTCATCTCTGCTCCTAAATGTTTGCCAAAAGGTTTCTGATGATATTTCCTCATTAATGTGACTGATAATCACGCACAGAAACTTTCTGAAGTTAGTATTGCTGACGGGGGATGTACAGTGTTGGGAGGGGAGGGGGGTAACTTTGGTGAACTTATAGCTGTCTCTTTGTGTTTGTTATTCACACACAAAGAGAGAACCAACTTAACCTACGGGACATGGTTTCTCTCCTCTTTCAAAAAGCACTCATGAAAAAAGAAAAAGGAGCCAGTGCTCAATTGCCTGACAGTGCAGGTTTTTTTGCTTGTGTTGGAAAATTTGTCATCACACTCCGACTTACTACCTGGAATGGGAAAAACGTGTCGACGCCAGGACTTTTTCTCGCCTTTAATAACACACTTGCACAAACACTGTCTTGCGCACACTTAACCAGCACCCACACACACACACACACACACACACACACACACACACACACACACAATACCCTTTTTGAACTCTCAGAAAAGTGTGAAAGTGATCACTCTTCTCTCTCCATGTATTATAATATGTATATGAGGGGCCAAACTCATGGATCCTTTACAACTCTTCTCCTTCACTTTCCCTGTTTTCTCCATCTCCTTGGCTCCCTTCTCTATCATGCTTATTTCACGCTCTGCATAACTCCCAGTTAATAGCTTCCTGCTCTTTCCGCACACACACACACACACCCCTCAAACTGGTGTCTTTTCTCCCCCCTCCTCTTCGTCACCTAGTGTTGTAGTCAAGACCGCCCAAACCGAGACCAAGTCAAGAGCAAGACCGAGAGAGGGCGAGACCGAGTCAAGACCAAGACCAGTTCCCCACATTACATGACACATAATAAAATGTGGAATGAGATCATAGGTACTTCTCAAATTGATCTTAAAGATCCACATTCCCATTAAAACACCCACATAGAAACAGTAAGAGCTGAAATCAACGTAAGCATCTTTATTCAACACTTTTTTCCACGCTTACCATCGCGGGGAGGGGTCGTTAACGGTAACAACACTTTTTTAATTAGGGTTATTGGTTGCATTTAAAGCAGTACATTTTATATCCAATCAAAGTTAGGATGTTAACAAATAAATCAGACAATGCAAAAGCTATTTGTTGATATCCTAGAAGTTATGGTATTGAAATAAAATCCAGAGTCCTCAATGACCGAGACAAGACCGAGTACAAATGCGGTCAAGTGCGACCAAGACCATCAAAAAGTGGTCTTAAGACCTGTCTCAAGACCAAGACCGGTCTCGAGTACTACAACACTATCATCACCCTCTCTCCATGGCCCCGTATCTTCGCTGTGACCCTGCCCCCTCTCTGTACAAAGGTTGCCATTATCACCAATCTGATTCCTAATTTCCAATTAGCCTCGACACAGCGTTCATCGTTATTTATTTAACAACTCCCTCAACACCCTCGGCCCACAACAGATCAGCGTGCACGAGAACTGCTCCCTCTTTGTTTTTTTATTTTAACAAAAGGCACGATGGACTGCAGCCAGGAGCCCAGTTTTGTGGCGCTCTGAGGTTTTAATTCACACTCCCTACATGTTTCTCTCTTTAAGTCTCTCCATCATGTCCTCCATGTGTCTAACTGTGTGTCTTCACTGCCTCACTCGGCTGCCGTTCTTTGTGTTCTCCATTATTGCTCAGAGAGTTGCTTGAGGGAGGAGGCGCCGTTCTGGCAGTTGTTATGTTGGGATTATTCAATAAAGACAGACTTTCCACTGTCTCACAAACGACTCTTACAATCTATTCTTGATCATTCTCTATGCTAGCTTGTTTATGCTCGTGTACACCCACACACATCAGCCCCCGGGTCGTTTGTGAAGCTCCTAATCTGGCTATTTATTTTCCTTTGTGTGTTCATGTGTGTGTTTGTGTGTGTGCAGCAGGCCAACAGCTTTTAAGTAGGAAGTCTCTTTCTAAGAAATTCGTCTGTGTGTGGCTCTGTGCGGTAGTGGCTGGGGCTAAAGGTTCTCTCAAACAAGATTAATTAGAGCTCTGTCTGAAGCCACACACACAGTTCATCACCCTGTTCGTCTTCACTACATAAAGAGAAAGGACTGCTGCTATGTGTCTTGTGAAATTTCTTGTGCTCTTTAATCCATCTTTATAAGCCCCATGATCGCTGTGTTCACCTTCTGTCACGCTATTAGTCTTTTTTTCAGCTTTTCTCCAGGACTTGATTTGTCAACAAGACAGCATGTGAAGCTGTGTGTGTGTGTGTGTGTGTGTGTGTGTGTGTATGAGACGGCGAGCAGAATGTTGCGGAGGTGGGGGTCGGGGGTATAGAGAGATGGTCAGCAGTAGTTTCGTTGCTCTGGATCAGCTTCAGAACTTTTCTAATTGAGGTTTTAGTCGTGGTCGTTGCTGAGTTCAGGGTTTTTTTCTACCCAATCCCCCTCCATCCATTCCTCCCTCCCTGGTCACCCCCCCCCCCCCCCCCCCCCCCCACCTACTCTCTCCCCCCCTCCATACCCAACAGCTAAGCTCTTACAAATGTGTTGAGGATGCATTTTCACCCAAACCCTTTCGCACCCCCTCTTCTCTCCTCCTTCTCTGCCCCCCACACACCCTCCTGTCCTGTTCCTCCTCATCGCTGTTTCTCCCTCCATCCCCACGTCTGTCCCCCTCCTCTCCTCCCCCTCCTCACTTGCCTCTCTCTTTTTCCTCTCTTCTTTCTCCCTTGTCATTTGCACCCTCCCCGCCCCGTCCTCCCTCCAAACTCAGCATTTTTCTCGGCTGTGGGTGTGATGTCTCCGCTGTAACGCTAATCAGCTCTGGAGACGTCAGCATTCTTTCAGTCCTCTTTCACCACCACCAGCACCCACCCTTTCTCCTCCTTTCTTACCTAGTCTGTCTTCACCTTGCTATCCTACCAACTCCTCGCCCTCTTTTCTCCTCACTTTCTTATCTTTTCCTCTCTTCTAGCCGTACTTTACTCATCTCCACCACTTCTCACCTATTATTCATCCCTGTCCCCCATGTCCTGTCCTCTGTGTTTGTTTGTGTGTGTGTCGTCTCTGCACTGTAACCGCAAGCAGCTCTGCTCTTTAGTTGTCAGCGTTCTTTCGGTTGCTCCATAAAAAATACAGCCTGCCACAGCAAAAAAGCTGTCTGTTGTAGCAACAGTGACTGTGGCATTGACCACACCGCAGCGACCACCCCGCAAGCATTATTGGAAGGACACCTCTGGCAGTTTGTGCTTGTGTAAGTGTGTTTGTACGCCCAAGATGAATGGCGTTGCCTTTGCTCAGCAGATGATCTTTAACCTGGGTGACTTACACATGGCCTGAGCTCTCAGAACAAACACGCGCACACACACACACACACACACACACACACACACACACACACACACACACACACACACACACACACACACACACACACACACACACACACACACACACACAAGTTTATTGCAGTTTTATGCTGTGGTGTAGGTCAGGTTTTATGTGGTCTAACTTTGATGAAATAGGCCCTAAACTTAATGTGCTGCTGTAAGTGTATACTAACATCACTACTACCACTAATCTAGCTATACCTTCTGTGATAATAATTTGCACATATTAAACAATTAGTTGGTTAGTCAATGGACAGAAAATTAATTGCAGATAATTTTGATAATCAGTTTATCTTAAGTCATATTTTCTTTAAGCTAAAACGCAAAACATGAATTGGTTCTAACTCCTCAAATGTCAACAGATACTTAATATCTTAAATATAATAATATTTTAAAACAAGCTATTTCAAGATGCCACCTCAGGCCCATTTTTTGGGCTAAACGATTAATTGGTTAATTGAAAATATGATTGGCCGACTTTTTACTCCGCCTTAACCCTTCTGCTACAAGAATCCGCTAATAATTAGCGCATTCATCAAAAATGAAAATAATCATAGTTGTATACCATCTGTGTATCTTTACTGATCAAATGATTTATAATTATTACAGCAGAGGACATAAAAGTAAGCCATAATATCTGAAACTAAAACATTTGCAGATACCAAAAATGCATCTGTATGGATATAGATACTAAAATTACCTTTTCTGCAGTAATTCCATTTGCTGGTTGCTTTTATCTCAGACAACAAGACATTTTAATTACGTGTTGTCACTTACGGAATAAAACCTCGGAGCCATCTACAGTACACTCAATTTCCGCACATATCAAGTGTTGTTTAGCACTTCAAACACTACACTACAGCCAACCGTTTTACGCATGTGTTTTATTGTGCCCCACTGGCATGGCGGCAGGGGAGTGTGTGTGTCTGTGTGTTTGCCAGCATGCTTTTTGTTTGTATGTAGATGGGGTTAGAGGGGGTTGGGTTTTGGGCACAGGGGAAATAAACCAGTGCCTGGCAGGAAAATAGCCTCCGATTTTGCCCTCTGTTTTCCCCCTCCCATTTCTCTTCACCAACCCCACCCCCAACAGCCACCCTCAGTCTTCACGTCTTTGATCCATCTATTGTGTGATGGTGCCCCTCCAGCTGTAGGAGGCTGCAGTGGTACATGAGGATGGAAGACATTTGTTTATTGAGAAGAAGCCTCTCTCTGTACACAGTTAAATGAAAGACTATTTAGTACTAACTGATCCATTAAAGAGCAGAAGAAGTCAAATGCTCTGAATGAAGCATTGCTGTTTCTTTTTAGTTTAAGGTTGCTGTGCGTTTGACGTGCATGCGGGATAACTTGTGTGTGCTTGTAGCGTACGTTTTCCTTTGATCCATACCTATTTATAACTGCAGGATTTGTGGCAGTGCTTGCACAAACACTCACGCACCCCCACAGACAGACAGACAGACAGGCAGAGGTGCATTGTTGGGGAGGCTCACTGGCACGCTCGGGCCTTTTTGACAGAAAAGAATAAGAATGAATCAAGAACAGACGCGTTTCCTCATGTCACTTAAATTTCATCACTTCCCTAAACAAGTTGCTTTTTTAAATTACGCAACTTGTGAATGACTGAAGAAATAGAACTTATTTCCAAATCTGCTTCTTATTGTTTTAAACTGGCCCTGGTGTGAACTACATAAGAGTATAAATAGGCTCCATAAAGGGAGGCTGTCTTTGATTGGCAAATTGGTTTAAACTTCTGATTCAGCAGTATCAGTTGTGGTGGCATGTCTTTTTATGCTTTGCGGACAAATGCATTTCACCAGTCAATCACATGCGTGCACGGTCTCACGTTGGCCCCTCTCGTGCCCTGCAGGCTTTGCTTTACCTGCGGCTATATTTTGGGTAAAACCTCACCCTTTAGTAAAGCAGTTAGACAGTTGTAAGGGGTGCAAGAAACAAAACAAATAAGGGGTGTATAAAAAGTGACAGAGGAGTGCAGAAATTTTGCATGGCAGTAGAGGAGGGGGTTGAGAGAGTGAGATCAGGAATCTGCTGAGTCATTATGACTGGTCTCATGATGATCGCTCAGCAGCAGCAACAATAGCTGCACTTTATCGCACAACACACACACACACACACACACACACACACGCGCGCACACACACACACACACACACACACACACACACACACACACACACACACACACAGGTCTTAGAGATGAGAGCCAGACCAACGCACCATACAAAGCATCTCATTGAGAGCTTGTGGAGATGCTCATCTGTGGAGCTGTGCGCTCTAAGGACTGATCTCATCTTTTGCACTTCCAGGCTCCCTCTTTGTTGACTTCTGATTCACACTGTTTTGTCTCCATCCTTTTGTCTCTTGTTTCCACTTTGGTAGAAATGCGTTCACATCATTGTATTTGGTTTGCCTTTATTCCTAGTGGCTGTGGGTCTATATCTGTTTTTCTACTTCTCTCCAGTCTTTATACTGCCGTGTGTGTGTGTGTGTGTGTGTGTGTGTTTAGGGCTCTAACAGTTGGTTTTCCCCTGGAGTCCTTCCCACAAATTCTACCACTTCCTCTTCTTTCACATTCATTACATTCCTATTGGCCTATCGCCAACCAATAAGAGTTCAACAACACAAGGTTAGTGGGCACTGTCAGTGTAACCACCAGGAAGCAGGAAGTCAGGAAAATTCTAAGAAAGGTTTGGGTGTCACTTTCACTCATACACTGTGACACAGATGCATACTCATGTAACATGCTCACACAGCAGTGCTCCAAAAGTAGATTTCCATGTGGTATGTCTCCGCTGGTCCAGGTGGGTACTACTGACTCACGCTTTACTAATCTCATAGAAACATTGTTCTAGATGGTCTTTTTTTTATTGCTATTACTCTGTTAACTGGCTTTACGCAGAACTTCAGCTGTCTTATATGTTGTTTCTTTGCTCATGGTCTGTACTCTTTCGCGTCTTTGTAGGTCTGTTCAGAAGGGCAAGGCTCTTGTGGCATGACGACGACTAACAAAGGAAATAAAGCCTTGAAGGTAAGAGCATGTTTTACACTGAATTCTCTGTATCTGATATGCTGTTCTGTCTCTGTCTCACTCCCCTTGCTCCTCCTGTTTCCTCCAGGTGAAGCGTGAGCCGGGAGAGAATGGCACCAGCCTCACAGACGAGGAGCTGGTGACCATGTCAGTGCGGGAGCTGAACCAGCACCTCAGAGGGCTCACCAAAGAAGAGATCCTGCAACTGAAACAACGGCGGCGCACCCTGAAGAACCGGGGCTACGCCGCCAGCTGCCGGGTGAAGCGGGTCACCCAGAAGGAGGAGCTGGAGAAGCAGAAGGCCCAGCTGCAGCAGGAGGTGGACAAACTGGCCAATGAGAATGCTTCGATGCGCATTGAGCTGGACGCTCTGAGGTCCAAGTACGAGGCATTACAGACCTTCGCCAGGACCGTGGCACGGAGCCCCACTGTCGGGGTTGGGGTTAGGCCTGGAGGGGGAGGAGGAGGGGGAGGGGTGCCGTCATCAGTCATTGGTCCACTGATACCGGGGAAGGTAGCAACAGCGACGAGTGTGATCACAATAGTGAAATCAAAAACAGATGCACGGTCTTGAGGGAGCGAACGATAGATGAGGGTGTGTTGGGGGTGGAGTCATTCTTCTTCTCTGCTGGCCACCTCTCCTCCACCTGCACTGACTTCAAACAGCTGGGCAGCCTTGATCAAACCGCCTCAGCATGTTCCCGTCACCTGTCTCACATCAGTGCAGGTGAAGGAAAGCATGGAAGCAGAGGAAGATCATTGAGACTCTGATGATGCAAGCCCTTGGTCAGCGCATGATCATTTAGCACAGGACAGATACACAGGGTTCCTACAGTCACTGAAAGCCTGGAAAAGAATTTGAGATTAGTTTTATTCCAGGCCAGGCAGGGGGAAAAAAGATTTTAAAAAACGTAAATGTCCAAAATACTTTGGAAAAATCATGCAATTTTGTTCAGTTGCCATTTACGTCAGTCAAGTGTCAAGTTTTACCGCTGGTAGATCTTCATATGCGTAATAATCCCATCAAACGTTTGCACACTAGATTTGAAGTTTGCCAGAACGAAGATATAGAACATTTAAATTTGCTACAGCAACACAAATATATTCTAACACATGTGTTATACATATGTAATAGAATCAGGAGGACAGTATTGATGTGTTAGTTATAGGAAAGTTGTTGGATTAGATTGTTTTGGGTCCCTGACTTCCAAAAGAATAGATTTCATGTGACCTGCTAATTTCAGTGGCTGCAGAGAAATCCCATCTTGCTCCACCTAGCCAAGAACCTTTTCAGAAAAGTACTATAGAAAAATATATATTACACAATGGTGGTACCTGTATTTCTACTGTTTTGTACTTTGTTGTCATTCACATGAGGTCCAAAGTGTATTCTCTGTGTGTCAATTGTTATATATCAGGAATTCTGTGATATTCTGTGGCGCGTGTTCGTTTTGGTATTGCTATATTTACTTAGCTGTATTTTTTCTACGGCCTCTTCACTTTCTATGTCCAACTCTCTTTCTCTTACCTATTCTTTCTCTGTCCTTCCATTTATCAATTCCAATTGGTTACCAATTATTACACACAGTACTTCCTGGATCGAACAGAGAGAGCTGGGGGGGGGGTAAAAATATATTCAAGAAAATTGGAAGGGCTAGTGCCTTGGTCTCCTAAAGATATGCATCAATAAGAAGTCAAGAGGACATTGTGGAAGGATGGTGGAGATTCGATGCAGGTGTTTGCTTAAAACCTGTGTTTAATAGGATACACTGACCAATCAGGGATCAGGTTGTAACAGCATTTAACTCTCGCTGTGCGTTGTTGTATGAGCTGTGTAGTACCCATCAGCAACACCCATTTTTGTGACTTGACAGTTCATGTACTTGCAAAACAGGAGCCTGCAGTTAGCCTAATTGTCTTGCACAAAATTTGCTTTTATGGAAAGGTAATATATCGGTTTTATGTAAATTACTTAGTTCACATGTTTATGAATTTGATTGGATACTGACTCAGAAATCTAGGTTTTTAACCTACAGCAAAATGTTTGCTTCAAATCAAAGTGGTTAACAGTGCATTCCTTGTGCTTTTAACCACAAAGCTCACTGTGCACAAGTGTAAATGTGATTACTGACAACGCAGTCAGCCAGGAAGGATCGCAAAGATGCTTCTCAGAATTTGCAGTCACATAAATGGGATGCCATTTCACACGAGTTTTACCATAAAAGTAGTCGTATATGGTGTTGTATACTCAAAGAATCTTTGTCTCTGTATGATAGTCTGGAATTTTATAAAGACAATTATCTTTGCATCATTTGTAATGACCTGTAAAAAAACAAAACAAAAAACAAAAAAGGGTATAACAAAATCTGTTTGATATACAGTATTTCTCTATTTTGCAATTGTACCAAAAGTGGCTTAACTACTGAATAGCTTTGTTTTTTCTCTAGTGACTAGGCACGTGTGTGTAACCGTGAACTAGCGTGTGGTGTGCTGTGTAAGTATGTGACGAGGTAACTATAACGTTCACTATTTCATAGATAAGACTTTGATCCTTGTTTGAGTTCAGGCCGAAGCGGGTGAGGACACCGTGGGTAACTGCACTGTTTCGCTAATCATAAAATCTTTGTCCTCCTGGCCCTATCATTCAGCTCCCACACTGCAGGCCGTGTGTTTATACATTTTAAGTTCACCTTGGCAGACCCATTTTCCGTATTTCTGAACAGGCCTTTGTGGCTTCCTTTTTGGTTGTTGCAGTGTTCAAAGCTCGTTATTGCAGACAAAATGACCAATGAGATGAGGAAGTGTTTTGGTTAACCCCACTAGCTTTGTGTATTCAGGTCATCTGGCAAGATGTGAAACTCAACAAGGGGCCTTCATGGCTGCATCACCCCTACTCCTTCAATAAGTTATTTTTGTAGTATGTGATAAAGGTATTTGTTTTTGCTGTGCACATTTTATATCGTTATGTGTATATATATAATGTTGTTTATATTTTGTTTGTTTTGGAACTGTTTTGTGAGTGTGAGGGAAGTGAAGCAAATTTACGTATTTGGTGTTTTATGAAGTGAAAAATGTATTCTGCTATTTAATGGTTTGTCTGTCAAACAGTTTGTTGTTTTTTTTAACTATGAAAACCTGATTTAAGAGGAGTCATTTACTGAAATAGAAGCAATTATTATTGATACAAAACAGTACATACATGCAACCTTTTACCTGAACCGCTACTTTTCCACTGTGAAGAAAAAAAGGGGTTAGCTAGCCTACTGCTGTGCAGTTATGAAGATTAGTGAGATATGTGTTTATCTGAACCCTATGTCAGTATAAAATATGATTCAAGCAGCTGAACAATGAGCAAACGCATTGGAAGGAAAATTGGTTTGAGATTTTAAAATATTATTTCTCCATTATCTTTACACTGATAACCATTTGCAAGTTCAGTCAACCATGAAATCAGAGAGCTATATAATTTATTTTTTTAAATGTCTTATCACAAGAATGATATTCAGCTACAAGCACATATAGGTATCACACCCAGTATATTTCTGTATGTGCTCTATGTTAAAAAAGGGGTTCCTGTTTTAAGGTCAGAATACTATCATTCGATTTTCTACTGGATAATTCTTTCAATTCTTTCTCTATTTGTCATTCTGTTGCTTCCTGCACGACTTTACGTTTGCACATTGAATTCAGTTTTTTCTTTGCTGGCACGTCCTGTGTGGTGTGTGTGTGTGTGTGTGTGTGTGTGTGTGTGTGTGTGTGTGGTCGCCGTGGTATAAAATAAGTTGTGTCGAGTTGAAGCAAAATATGAAACTTCCTGGTGCTTGTCAAACTGTACGTACTGTATGTGCCACTGTCACAAAATGTGTCCCCACCTAGTCTGTGTTTTTGTGCTCCCTTGCTTGTAAGAGATGCATACTGTGTAAACATAAATGTGTGGACATGGCGGCTGCTCTAATAATGCAAACTGCGTAAAAATTAGACCTCCTGCCACACGGGAGCAGTGATGCTATCGTAGTCGTCATGTCAATTTGTCTGTTTAATAATTGCAGGTAGGCCTACAGCGCAGTGTGACAGGGTGAAAGTGCTTATAGTGTTGAGCGATTTATACTTTGTTATAAATGTCAGGTGTCTGTTTAAATCTGGCTTATGTGATGCTTTTTCAGCGCCACTTAACAAATAACTGTGAAAATACGAAATCATCAAAAATGTTTCATCCATTTCCGATTGAGAAGTGGACAAAATGCAAAATACAGTAGCTGTCATACAAGGCCTGCTGTCGCACTGAAGAGGATCATTATTTTTTGTCTTCCAGACTTGAATATGTTGTGGTTGTTGTGTTTTCCTCCTAATATTTGCTCAGCAGACGTGATCAGCCGACAACAGTGACCTTTAGTGATCGTCAGACAGGGCAGCTTTGTGGCTTTTCATAACAGAGTTTACGAGCTTGTAAGACACGCTTACCTTATTTTCCTCTGCCAGTACGGGGGTCATACCCTTCTTTATGGAAAGATATTTCATCACAAACCCAAGCAACTGCTCCTAAACCGCGTTCATAAATATTTTACAGAGGCAGAAAGGAGTGGTGGAGACACTTAACATTTCCCCACTCCTCTTATCCTATCCCTTTTTACAAAGTGTCAGCGAGTTAACGCAGCAGGCTTCCAAGCCCTTCTTCAAAACATCAGATACTTCTAGAAGATGCAAATCATTAACTACTTGTCTTGCTGCTCAGCCAATCTGCATGTAGTCATTCAGTCACTTTCCTGTGTAGTGAATCATGCCACCGGACTCTAAGAGCCCTTTCACCCACCTCCAATGCTGATCGATGAGTAAATGAACCAAGGATTCCTTTGATCGTTTGTTTGGTGTTTTCATCAATAATAATGTTTGTCTTGCCTCCCCAGTTACCCTCTTCTTATGCTCTCTCTTATTCTCTCTGTTGCCCTTATCAGTTGTTGAGCCTCCAACATAAAATTCCTACCCAGAGTTTGGGTATCATTTCAATTTCTTTTTCTTTTTGCTGTAACAGTCTGCCTCTAATTTTTACCCCTGATAACGTTTCTTTCCATCAAACCACATGTGTCTGCTGGAGAGCATTCGGCCGGGTTACTCATAGAAGATTTTTAAAGTACATAATGGTCCGTTTGAAGCTATAGAAAAGTTGTGAGTTTGTGTGAATATGGCGTAGCCTATTCAGAAAAGCCCTTGTAATAGAGAATTCTGTGTTTTGTAATATTTCTGTATCGGGTGTAATTATTCTACGACAGTATACTTTCTATGGGAAAATACTTAAAATGTGACAGTCTTTGTAAGTATTTAACTTCAACTAAATTATTGTACTTATTTTGCAATTTGTAGATACGTAAGTGATGATGAAAAGGTATTGGTAATCATGAAATTAACTGTTTCATCACCGGTCTGAAGCATCTTTTAATTTATTGATGTATATATTGTATGTTTGTTGATAAACAGCTTACTTTATTTTGTATATGACCAATAAACATGTTTTGAAATGGAACAGCTTTTGTGTGTCTTTGTATGTAATTGAGGAATATGGAAATAATAGTTAACATTGTTTTTTGTTATTAACAGGGTGCTGAGCCAAACATGAAATATTAAATATTAAACATGCTAGAAATTAAAGCCAATATATTACTGAATAGACAGAACATGTTTAAATTGGATATATTTGTTTTTGATATGCACTACATGTCTGTCAATCTTTGTAAATACAGTATGTGTGACTATTGAGAAGAAAGACACCATATAGACATTTTCCACAGCAGACATTTTTGACTTGTGTCAAACACAGGTGTAATTAATAACATTATTATAATGTTAATTGCTGCATTGCAGTATTTTGCTGGAGCAGAGCTATCATTAATGTTATTGGTTTCACCTGTGCTTTTTCTGCTGCGGCAACTTAAAAAAACAACTGCTGTGAAAAAGGTCTACAGGGATGCACTGACTCATTTTAAGCACACTAGTGTTCATATAGGAGAAGATAGCCTATCCTTTATTAATGTGATGTATGGCAGCTTGAGTCTAAAACCTTTACTGCAAGCTCTTGTTTCAAATGGAAAGTCCTAGATTTAATTTGAAATGACCTAAGCTTACCACATGATTATGTGGATTTGAAGTAGTGGACACTGTGCCCATAAGGTCAGGAGCCAATAAATCTCCAAATACCAAAAAACAATACATAAATAATGGTTGAAGATAAAGAAAACATGGAATTACACATGATTAATTATTTTTACATTACATGCTGGAGTACCAACAGGATGAAAGGGACTGCACAATTTGTCCTAATTTCTCTTCAGTCTTCTTTTTAAGGGTACACGTTTGTCTTTGTTTGGCCAGTGAGGTCTGTAGGTGGCAGCATCAAGTTATCAGCAGCTCCCTTCGTCTCAACCAGGCCTGGATCAGGTAAAACCTGGAGCTCCGTAACATTTCTATCCTTATAAATACAAGCTTCACATCAAAATCGTTGACAGAGATGGAAATGGCTTTTTTTCTTTAGTTACTGTGATATGATCTGTGTGAATTAAACTTGCGTTTTAATAGGTATATTCGTGTTTTTTGTAAATCCATGTCCGTCCTGAGACTCCACTCCGGGTTATGAGAGCTTCCAAACTGTCAGTCTGCTGCTCCGCGAGGAGAGGCGGGTAAAAATGTAAACATTGACACATTCAGGTAGAGAGTTTGGTTTGGTAGCTTGTTAGCCTTTATTCTGTAACACTGCAGAGCTGCTCTATTTTTACTTCGCTTACTTATTTTAATAATAGCTATAAACTTCACCGGCAGTTTGGTGTTCAACTCTAAACAGACCAGCTAACCCGTTAGCTAGCTAGCCTGGTTTACAGCTCAGCCGCTAACGTTAGCAAACACAACAAGATAACGTCAACATATTAGCGTTAGTTAGCCCTTAAACTAACAAATCCTACTACCTAACTTACCGTGTCCTGATGCAAGCGGATGGAGGACTACGAAAAGTTTGTGCAGCAATGTCTCTCCCGTGTGAGGAAGACTGAGGAGGAGCACAACAAACCTTCGTCCTCTCTCATCCGCATCTATGGACGACCCATCCTCGCCCCCCTGGTATGAGCTCAGTTTAATTATATTTCTGTTGAGGTCATCATGATTTAGGTGTCTAATCTTAGCTAACAACACAATATTGAAGGTTGTACAGTTTATCTGCAGATAAGTTAGTTGTTGTCACGGTGTAGCTGGTAGCTTTGTGGAGTAACTTGTTAGAGCTATTAAAACAATAGTTTGATAATGAACTACTTTATAGATGTTATCAAACAGAAATGCCACAGATTCGTCAGACGTTAGGTTTGCTACTCTGCACTGATCTGCATCATTTAATGTTTAGTATAACGTTATTTGAAGTTTTTGACTGACAGAACAACCAAGTTTAAGAAGTCACCTGGTGTTTCTGGGAAATTGTGTGGGACGTTTTTCACTGTTTCTAGTTTCTAGATCAACTAGTAATCGGTTAATTAAAAACATAAAGAACAGAATAATCAATAATTAAACAGTGATTAGTGCCAGCCCTGTTTTAAATGCATGCCTCTCCATGTCTACTCTGTGATGATAAAAACAGCTCTCAGCGGAACAGAGAGAGGAGATGCAGCGACACAGAGAAGCAGCACAGAAAGCTGCTGTCTACCGAAAAATGAAGGTTGATGCAAGAATGGCCTACGTGCAAACCATCCTACACAGTGTTCAGGTAATATAAGTCCTGGCTTTTGAGCTATCCTCTTGTCAAGCCTAATATGTTCCTTTAGTTGTATTTATACACTACTGCTTATAATAACTGCTTAGTCCTGGCCTATAATCACATACACTAGTTATTAAGAATCATTAGAGTCATCATCTGATATTGTCTTCTTTCATAATGTTTTTTCATGTCCCACTTTCCTTTTCTCTGCTCCCTCAATATTTGTTATTGTTTCCTCTTATGAATTGCAGCTCAGGAAGACGCCAACACTGGAGGAGTTGCTGCAAGAGTCAGAGATTAACACAAAATCCTCACATTCCCATAACACCAGCGGTGGGTCCGTGTTGCAGAGCAATTGGGTCGTAGGAACAAGGGGTAGTCTTTCTCTCTCACCACCACCTAAAAGGAAAGAAAAGGATGCTGTTTCTCTTCCTCCGCTGACATTAACAACATATGAGGCCTTTTTCTCCTCTAATGTGACACCTCAGCAAAGTTACCTGGAAGAATCCCTTGTTGACCAGCGTTACAGCCAACAGGGATCACAGCCAAGTTCTCTTAATGGTGCGAGCCACCAGTCCTCAGGTTACGTGACCTACGAAAATGTTGAAAACACCACCAGTGTCTCTGGAAGGATTGATGTGGGGAGGGAGAGCCATAGCTTTGGCTCCTTAGAGAGAGCTTTTAATGTGGGTGGCTTTTTCCTTCACAGCACCTCAAACACAATCGCCAAGATGCCAGATATTATTAGCCACCCTCCCATCGATGGAGAGGAATTAGAAAGAAGTGGATCGGAATCGTCCTTTTGTAATGACTTTAAAGTAGTAAAAGACATGTGTTATTCCTCAGTCCAGGAGGATTCAGTCATATGTGACCATTTGCCAGTAGAGAAATCTGAAAGCAGTCATGTGGACAGCACAGATGGTGAAGATAACCTTCCCTTTACTACAGTACTGGACGTTGAAAGAGATCGTATTTTTGACAGAATTGAGGGGCCAGTCTCTTCGTCAGAAAACAGTGGCTTTTCAGACCAATTATCTTCATCACAGACATTAAGCACTCATCACTGTCCAACAACAGAACTGCACACTCAGCTCGACCCCACAGTAACAGAACCAGCAGTAGACAAAGCAAAGCCATCTGAGGAGCCTTATCGTCTGAGCCTCCAGGCCTTGCTGAAGAAATCTCAGGAGTATCGGCGGCGCCAGCGGATGCTTAGGAACCAAGCCAAAAACACTAAAATCCAGGAGAGGACCCAAGAACAGCCAAAAGCAAGGGCGGAGGAGGATAGCCTCTCTGATAAGGAGAACGATGAGTTCCATTACAAGGGTACTGTGACTGCAGAGGGGAAGAAAACTAAAGAGAGGAGAGGCACTGTTATCCCGTCAGGGGAATCGTCACCAAAGAAATCCTGGGAAAATGAGAGGATGATTGAGAATGAGTGTTTTGGGGGAAAGGTGAACTTTATATCCGAAAGCACACATTTAACAAGGGAAGGAAATGCAAAAGAAATGACTAGTGTTGAGAAAAAAACAATCTTCAAAAATAATAAGCTGAACATTTCACAAGAGGTCACAATGGAGCCTAAACAAATCTGTGCCGTCCCCCAGCAACAGCCCATGTCGACAGAAACTTCGCCTGTTCAGGAAGCCTTTTACTTGAACACCTGTCCCACAGCTCTTTATAAAGGAGTAGGGAGTAAATATCACATTATCCCAGCCCCTAATTTCTGCAGGAGTCCTGTTCACTGCAAAAGCAAAGGCAATATGCAAGATGCTGTTAGTGGAGCCGAGATCTCAAAAGTCAACGCTGGTTTGATTGAAGACCACAAGGTTGAACAAGTTAACCTGGGACATAAAAACAGTCCCACAGAAGTCCCTTCCACTCTGGATCTCATGGTTGAAGATGATGTAACACGTGTTTCAGCCAAGAATTCCCAGCACATAGACCAGCTGGAGTACAACCTGTCCAGTCTGAAAGTACTGATCTCGGATTTGGAGTCCAAACTGACAGAAAACCTGGAAAATCACAGCAACACACAAAGTGAGTTCAGCTTTGAAAGCATCAAGCAAATTAGAAATGAACAACATGTGCAGCTTTGTCAAAGTGATTGTGACTATTGGGAGGACCAACTGAGAGATGGTGACGATGGCAATGATGCAGAGCAAGACCAAAGGTACAAGGAGTGTCCGAGAAGACAAACATTAGACAAATTCACAAGCGTGCATAAAGAAACAGGACCTGAACCAAGCATCAGTGGCAAAGACGATGCTACTCTCACAGCGCAGGTGAAAAACACTGAGGCAGTTAACTTAAGCGAGCTCAAGCTAGTCAAAACCCTAGCTACAGAGAGAGGAAAGGAAAAAGGGACATGTAAAGAAGGATTTCCAAAGATTTATGGACAGCAGGGCGGCTGTAGAAAGCAGGAGCCCCCAGCTAAGTGTATTCTCTCCGTAGCACAGCGGCTTCGGATTCCCGACGTATTCAGAAATGTTCCATCAGAAAACACGGCTCCACGGAACGTCTCGGTGCTTTCGGATACCAGTAACCACCCAGCGGAAAGGAGAAATGAGACAGCTGCAGAAGGTCACAACTCTCCCCACTCGGCATCTCTCAACCAGTCGTACGATGTGGACGCACCGTCCGGCCTGTGGGTCCTCGGAGGGTCAGGGTCCGACTCGGGCTCAAAAGATCGTCTCGTTCAGGAGCAACATCTGACCCCAGAGAGTGGGATTGAAGGTCAGGGTGGGGTCTCCAAGGTCAAACGGAGACTGCTCATGCACGTGGCAGAGGAG